GGTTGATCGGCTGTCCCGCCCGCGTTTTTGTTCCGCAAATTATGATCTGAAATGCGGGATCTTAGCCGAATGTTGACCTTCAGAGTGAATCAGAGCGGGATCTTAGGGGTGACTTTTGTATAGTAAAAATTCTGTTTTCTTAAAACAGCGGGATCTTAAGCGAACCGGGATCGTAAGCGGGGGGATCTTAGGCGGAGACTACTGTATTATGATACACCCAGTGGCGTGGCTCTCCAAGCGCAAATGCGCCCTGGTGCCACCCTTTGAAATGGAGAAGGGATTTTCAAAAAAGGGAATACGATTTTCCAAAACTTAACTAAACATCACAATATTTTCTTCAAACAAATCTCTTATTCAGTGTTCATCCCTAAGTACGCCAGTCTTTAGTTAAGGTGTCTATAATTAGGCTAGTGAGAGTAGGGCGGGTAAGCCTCCCGTTGCCGGTCGCAAGGGTCTCCCAGCGTCTTTCGTCCCCTACGTCTGTCGTCACCGAGGGCGTCGAGCCCAAATCGGCACTACCTGAACCAGTGTCTCTGCCTGAACCCATCTGGGTCTTCATTGTTTAGGTGTGAAGTCTGGTCAAAATAATTCAAAATGATCTATAAACTATATGATTCAATCAGTTGAAAACAGGGTTTTCTTTCCAAGAATAGCAAAAAAGTTTCTTTCATACCCTATCCAGACGTTTGACGAGGAGACACAAGAGATATCACTAAGAACATAACTCAGCCAAAAATGCTACAACAGGTACTCCCATCACACTAAGAGATTGTACTGTTGGGCCAAAGGGCCAAGATGGATTTGGCGCCTGTAAGGAAGGGAGGGGATGGAGTGGTAGTTAGCCTGGACATGGCATGGATGCGAACTGTCTAAAAATAGGTTTGACTGTCTGCTTTCTAAAAACCAGAATTGCAAATGAATCAGGGAATGGGGTCATTATGTCAGGACGCCCCGAGGGCAATAGTGCATGCGTGTTTTTGACTGTGAATGTGTGCTTTTCTGTTGATCTGTGGGATGTTATTGTTTTGATGTGATTGTGCGCATCTTGAGCGCCGAACTTGGTTCTTTATCATCAGATCCCTCTCTATATATAAAAAAGATTGTACCGACATATATCTATTCTTCTCTCATGGAAGTAGGTATCCCTGTATCAGTATTAAAATGAAACGAAGAGGCGTATATAGTAGGTCTACAGTTTATAGGCCTGTAATAAGTGGGCAATTCTGCCGTCGTAAGGGAAAACGACAAATGGTCAAAATTTGTCAATTTTGGTATTTTTATATATTTCATAGAGTATTTAATTCTGCATCTGATGGAGTAAAAAATGTTGTCATATCCTAATCCGTTGTTGCGTAATTGAGAGTTCGTCGTTTTCCCTTACACTGGCGAGCTCCTCAGTGTAAGGGAGAACGACGAATGGTCGATCGGTCAAGGATCACTGCTCGTTCGGCATTGTCCCCTGGTCTCTGCCGTTGGGCAAATTCGGCATGGGCGACGAATGACAATTGGTCACTGTTGCGTCAGTACAAACATGCTAGGTTTTTTGCAAACAAATACACCACCACCCCCTCCCCCACAGTAGAATCGACCAGGGTTATAAGAATGATTCACTTAGTGTGTCTTTCTGTCTATCTTCACGTATTAGGCCTATGCTGATGTGTGAATTGACAAGAGCAGGCGGGAGAGAGGGGAAAACGGATGGGAACAGGGGGAAGGGGGTGGGGATGGGAGGGTCAAAAAAGTATTCAGGGAGAAATTTATTAGCACTGCATATTAGTGTCCACCACATGTTCACAGACTAACGCCATGTTAGTTTGCTGTCCAGTCATTTGACGTCCCAAATCCCAACGATGGTTATAGTGCCACAATTTGTCTAGCACGTGTCACTGGTCGACATCATTATAGAATTACCAAGCAATTAATGACACTGCGTTATGAGAGTAAATTTCTTAGTCCAACTTAAAAAGTGGACGTATTGTGGCGACACTTAGTCTTGCTTTACGATTTTTTATGACTTGATGGACGTTGCGATCGAGCATAATAATGTCTTGCAGATTCAAACTGTCCTTGTCGATCTCTACTTTGTGGTATGTTTAGCGATCCGATCAATTGAATCCTGTATTAAATACAAAGCGTCGCATTACCTCTCCTGAAAGCGTTTGTGAAACAGTCTTGTCAGATTGTTACATTTCTTACGTGAAAGTTTGACCTTGCAATGATCTGATCGTATTATTGACATTGTAGCATTGTTGATCCCTTTGGTAGTGCAGGGAAAATTTTGCAATTGGCGAAAATAAAAGTAAAACTCGCTTCTGAAGAGAATACAATAGAGAGATATCATGGAAACCAAACTTTGGTTCCGAATGAGACAGTTTTAAATCAAGCTGTTGAAAATGTGTGCACTTCTGATTTGTAGTACACTGACTGTGTAGTATTTAACCAAGCGGGGAAGGGAAAAGAAGGACGTTTACCGAGTTACAGTTGGGATATAACAAACACCTAACTTTATACGTAAAATAGCTAGTTTGTATGTGTCTTATTTTAATTTGTATAGTAACCAGTACACAGCTATTATTGTCATTAATGCGTCACAACTGACCATCGCCTACGCCCATAAACGTTCACGAGTGTAAAGGAGAACGACGAACCATACCATTCGTCGTTTTCGCTTACATCGCAAGGCTCACCTGCGGGTGCGCAGTGTAAGGGAGAACGACGAATGTCGAATAACTTTGCTACTTTTTAAACTAAACCATTCAAACTTTAGAAACTGCTTTATGAACACCTCAATCAGATATCTGGTGAATTACAGCTTAAAAGAGTAAAAAATAGAAGAGTTATAACGTGAAAACGGTTTTTGCCTCTCCTGAAAAATTTGCCTCGCTACCTGCGCAGGACCATTCGTCGTTTTCCCTTACGACGGCAGAATACTATTCCTTGTGCATAAATTTGTTCTTGGCGCCACCTTCTCTGGAAGTGATGCCACGCCCCTGGATACACCCTACACTCACACTTGCACACAATGATATGCACGCACACACACTTGCAAGCACACATACAAAAAGTCACACAAATACCTTTACATCGTTATTGTTACTTCTTCCGTTGCTATTGTTGTTGTTGTTGTTGTTGTTGTTGTTGTTGTTTTTGCTGTTGTTGCTGTTGTTGCTATTGCTGTTGTAGATTTTGTACTTATTGTTGTTGCTGCTGCTGTTGCTGTTATTGTTCTAGTAGCTTTACTGCTAATCTGTTTGTTTATGCTGCTGCTATTGTTATTGATGTTGTTGTTGCTGCTGTTGCTATTGTAGTTGTAGCCTTTGTTGTGGGAGCTAGGTGAGGCAAACATTGGAAACAACTGGCTGTGGTCTGTGTGTACTCACATTAACAAACCGCTCATTGAGTTTTGTGTTGTTGTAGATGCTCTCGGAATACCCGATCCGAGGTTCGATGAATTCGTTCTGAAAAACGTTGAGTAGTTTGTTTAGAAGTACGGAATTTGGAAGGCAAGAACAAAGGGAAACCCATGGTATTTAAATAACAAAACAGGGGTTGAAGGGAATGGGTCTTTAGGATTTTCTACTAATCATGAAGTATTTTCATCACATAAATCATCATAACACTAATTAAGCTTTTGTTGTACGTCTGTCAGCAATGCCAATATCGCAACTTCACAACTGTATTTAAAATGACCCCCCCCCTCCCCTCCCTCCCCCCCCCTTAATAATTACAAATGCTTACTTTCGGGCTCTTTATCCTCCTAGATCATATAACTTCCCTCTCCTTAGTGTTCCATCCTGTTTTCTTTCTTTTTTAATCCCTTTTCGATATCTCCTTTCATTTTTTCTCCTCCAAACAACTGATTTACAATTGAAGCGTGGTTTTCCAAAACTCAGAAAGTCAAGTCTGACAAGTGTCTGATTTCATCACGATGCCGCAAACGTTTATAATAGAAACATGACCCATTTATGTATTACTATGTGCACATGAGTATATAATGATTTAGATGTTAATAATGCTGGAGTCCGGGATACGGAACTTTCAGCTGCGAGGAGTGCATATGGCTGTTTTAGAGAATGTATGTGTGTGGCGTCGTGAAACCAGGCGCTTGTCAAAATTGACTTAATGAGTTTTGGAAAGCCACTCTTCAATTGTTCACAATCCCTTTCTCATCCTCTTCATTCCCTCTTTCCCTTACATTATCCTATCCTCCTCCACCTCAGCCACCTCCTTTCCTCAGAAGAATGGATAAAATATACAATATATGTAACAAGACCCATTGCAAAGCAACAGAAAGAGCACCCCTTCTATAGACACAACAAGGTTGTCGGAATATCTGCGCTTAAACTAAACTTGAGACAATTTCATCAAAGAATTGTCTGCGACAGCTTTCCGTCACTCATTATTCTTACTCTGTAGACTCAGATTTCCAAATGACCTATTCAGGGTTTTTGTTAAATATTTAATAGAGCGATAATTTTTTTCCAAAAAGGAAAGGAAACAAATATTTGACTCCAAAATTATCTAATAGGCAGGTGTTTCTTACCTTTTCTTTGGCCACTGCTTTCGTTTTGTCATCCATCCACTCCAACTCATCCACTAGCTCATTGAAAGCTGTTTGCAGGTAGCCAACCATCTGTACAGCCTGCAGGCGGGGTGGGTTTTAAAACACTTTTAGAGACAGTTTTCCAGCACTTGCAACACAAATAGGTCATATAAGCGTCGAAGATTAGAGGTATCACTAAGAGTAACACAACAAATGAGAAAAAAAGAGAAAAGAATAGGATGATATAATATGAAATGCATCAAAATAATTAAATCAAAGAAATTGACATCTTTTTGGCCAATGAGCAATTTTTTTCTAATTTTCTTTTTTTCTGGCTCAACACCTTTTATGTCCATTTAAAAACATATTTCTGTGTGGATTTTACTGAAAAACATTGATGAAAGGCACAAAAAATGTAAATTTTCAGTTTCCAAGGACTCTTAGGATATGGAAGTTTCAAAACTTTGGCAGCCATTTTCTCGATAATTTTACCTCTGAAACCAGGGAATCCTAACCTGCTTCAACCATAAATATCTCAACTCCTATTCAACATGTGGATAAATATTTTTTTCACCAAAAGGAAGGCAAATGAACAGGCTTTAAGATGATACCAATAACCTCATATGCCCCAAAATTGACTAGCACCTGATTCTTTAACGTTGTGACACATAATATGCTTGGATGTTGTCAGTCCACATTGTGTGTAGTTCTCTCTTAGCCTCTGTGCCCCAACATCTTGCCTTCGAGTATTCCTTCATAATGGTCTGCTGGTGGTGTTTTATAAGACCAAGTATTGTATTTTGTACTTTTCAGTTTCTAAACAGAGTTTGTCTTACATTGTAATAGTATTTTTTTCCCTTTAAGGTTGTTTACCGTACTTTCATCTTGTCTATTTTTATAAAACTATTTGCATATAATTGTTCTATACTTACCCGTCATTACCTATATCCCTGTCTACATGTATTTATGCATTAATACACATAATATTGGAGTAATTTTATGTACCCCTGTGTGTGAATGCTGCATGTATTCTAATGGCATTGTAGGCTTCTTATAATATGTCTTGTAAGGCACATACCGAGCATTGTAAATCAGGAAGAATCCCTTTATAATTGCCATGTATTAAATCATATTTATAACTATATCTGGGTACCGTTCAATGAATAAACTCAAAAGAATTGATCATCAAGTCATTGTGGAACCAGTGCGCACTGCTTGTGAACGGAAGACTCACTTGTTTACAAACGTGTCTTGGAAAACGAACTTTCCCAAGATTAGATCTAAACGAAACTAATGAAAATGATTACACTGACTTCAGACTCCTTAATAAAACTGAGCACCATTTAAATGATTCTGAACCACCATTTATTTTTTTCAAAAGGGGAAACTTAAGTGGTTCGGAAGTTTTAGTTTTTTTAGTAGAGGTTTTACGGCGCTCACAGCTGCATAAGGTCATATGAGCACCAAGGGGTGGATGTCAACAGAGAAGTCCTTACATGGAATCAGGCTTACTCTGCTCACCTCTCTAGCTTCAACAGCACAAATAAGTCTGCTTCGATTATCAAAGCACCACGTAAATAGAGGGTCTCAAGAGTGTGACAAAAATACAAAAGAAGTACAGGAAAAATTACGATAATAAGGATTAGGAAAGAAAAAGCAATAGTTCCCTGTTGCAGTTAAGGCACAGTTATGAGCATGACATTGATGAATCAGCCCATTTACAATTCTACTGTGCATAAGAACATGGTTAATGTCCCTCCTTTGGGAATGGCCGAAAGACACTTCAGTCAGTAGCACCGCCCTGGGGGTATCGGAAGTTTTAGGCGACCAAGGTGATGAACTTTCACAAATATAACATGTATAGATTTCTCTATCCATACTGAATGGATTATACCTCTGACTTGGCCGCCGGGTCGAAATGTTTGCGCACGTAGCCTCGACCCACAGCCATGTCCATGATTTTGCTGGCCAGGGAAGAGCAGGACAAGTCTCGCCGTTTTTCGTTACTGGTGCCGAACACAACCTGCAGATGGCATAAAAAAGGGCACCTGTAGACTACAAAAATACAGTCCAACCTGCTTTAACGATCACCTGTCCACAACAATCATCACCGTCAAGCGCCAGATCTGAAGCAGACATCGTGATTCTCCATTCATTTCTCCCTTCAAATGCTCTATACAAAAAACCACTTTATCCTCCCGTTTCCCCTTCACTTATCTCTTCAGATTTTCCCAAAAGGTTTCTTCCGGTCTCCCCTGCCTCGTTTGTCTTGTATTTGTCCTGAGATAGCAAGACGACGTCTAAGACAACAACTTGTAGAAATTGCCAATTGCCAATTGCCGCCCCGCCCCCCTTTTTTAGTATAAAAAATATATCCCAGTGAGTGACACTGTCTGAAAGGTGAAAGGACCACCTGTCTAAGATGAATACATTTCAACTCAACAATTGGAGGTTGTCTCACACATATTTGACATTAGATCACTCTCTGGCAATCGAACCAGTGGCGGGGCGCCATTGGTGCAATTGGTGCAAGCGCTCCACTTAACCCTGGCCATCACCCCTCCCCCCTCCCTCCCCTCCCCTTTTCTAATTGTTCTAAACCAGCCAGTGCTCCAGATCTACATTACCACATCCTTGCGATCCGTCACCCGCTGGCTGTGCCAGTGAAGAGACAGACGGTGAGGATGGTTTATGCTCGTCGCACTGCTTGCGGTAGTGTCTGCTGGGAGCAAGCAAAATTTTTGCACCAAAGTTATTTTTATCACTATAGAGAAATCTAGCCATCGTTCTTCCCACACAAGAAGGAAGGTGCGTGAAACTCCTCATCGCAGCACCAATTTGGTGCAAGCAAAAAATTTGATCCAAGTTTCCGCTAGCCTATCTACTACACTAGATCTAGAAACTAGTAGTCTACGGCAACTCAATGAAGAATGGGTATCAAAACGTTGCTCTCTCTATTGCATAGCAAGTCCTGGTGCTGCAATAAGTAATTAGAAATCTTTGAATCTTCTCAGATTGTGAGCATAGTGAGTTGTTAGTATTGTTTCACTTTATTGCAGCTTTTATGGGGTTTTGTCTACAAACAGTTGTAAATATCGATATATATGTAGATTACAGAATATCCAGCAGGTTCTAATTGACTTTCTCTAAAAATCTTAATAGTAGCTACTAAGCCTATTGCCCATTTGCTCATTTTCCAATTATGCACCACTTTGTCTGCAACCCACGCAATGCCACTGAATCGAACGTATCCCCAGCAAAAACAAATAAAACTAATTCTATAATCATAAATAATAATTAAATTCTGGTCAACCATGGAGTGCACATTTGACTCTTTGTGAAATAAGTAAAGTGTCTATTCCGTTGTTTAAGGCCATTAGCCCATACCACGTAAAACACACATTTTTAGAGAAGAGACATTCCTGACAACGGACTCTATCTGGAATCAAACGAAGGAAAAGGGGGAAAAGGTTGCACGCACATCCGACTATAAGAAGACTGGTGTTTTGACCTTCAGTCACGCGCGCACTCAAGGTGAGCACCAGTGAAGCGAAAGTTTTCTAGAAGGTAAAGAGCGGGGGCCATGACAGTGCCCTGTGTAGGGTTTTTTAGTTTTAGTAGAGGTTTTTCGGCGCTCCCAACTGCATAAGGTGATATGAACACCAAGGGGTTGATACCAACAGAGAAGTCCTTACAGGAAATCAGGCTTACTCTGCTCACCTCTCTAGCTTCAACAGCACAAAGTCTTCTTCGACTATCAAGGCACTCCGGAAATAGTGGGTCACAAGATTGTGACAAAATACAAAAGAAGTAGAGGGAAAAATGACAATAGTAAGAATAAGGAAAGAAAAAGCAGCAGTTCCCTGCTGCAGTTCAGTACAGTTATGAACATAACATTGATGAATCAGCCCATTTACAATTACAATTCTACTGCGGATAAGAACATGGTTAATGTTCCCCCCCCCCTTTGAGAATGGCCTAAAGACACTTGAGTCAGTAGCATCGCCCTCGGGGCTGTCTAGGGTACTGGTGTAGAATGGAAATCTATGGTCTTGGGTTACCTTTCGATAATCTTGCCTGTAGTCCCGATAGATCTGGGTGAGCGTGGGTGTGTACCTCATGGCCACTCGTGACATGACGTAGTTGGCGATGGTCCTGCCATGAGAGAAAATAAATGCTCTATACGGGCATAGCGCTGATATTGCTTGTTCACTGCGTTACTTTCAGAATACTGAGTATGTATCTAGCTTAGAGATTATTATTGTTTATATAACTGTTCATTTATATTATGCATGTTGTTATACTCTTGCGTATATAATTGAGAAATAAACGATAACACAGAGAGGTCAATATAGACGGGTTTAATTAACTTTTAATTAAGGCCGTCGTTATTCGGACTCGAGTCCAAATAATATTTTTTCATATTCCGACTCGAGTCCGAATAGTCACTTCGTTTAATTAATTAGTTGAGCACTGTCATACAACTCTTCAACAGGGTTTTTAGACTGCTGGACATTCGTAAAGATCCGTATTTGCATTACCATGAATAACATTTTATAAATTAATTACAACTATGTAACACATGTGACTATAAGCCTGCGTGTCTGTTTGTGTGTGTGTGTGTACGAGGTGAAGCACAAAACCAAAGTGCCAGGATCTGGACACTTATCTTATCAGTTTCGTTGGACCACGTTAAAAAAATTCTAGCTCATTGAGGAATTTACCTATGCCCATAAAACTTTGCGTGACACTTCTGCAGACCAGTGACCAAACAAAAATAATTTTTCCAAAAATCTACATCGCTCTTTGGATGCATACACAAGATCACTGAAAAAAATTTTTTACAGTTTCTTTGCTTACAAATTGCTAATTTTGAGACAGCGACACCGCCCTGCCCCCATATTTCAGTGTAAGCTTATGGATTTCCTCGCACAGCTGTCTAGACATCTCCACGTGCTCCATGTGAGTCTTGAAAAATACTCATCCCATCTCTTGAATCATGTTTTTTAAGCGAACATTAAAATGTGGTGTTGAGGAAAATATGTCAACTTTTTTATGTTTTAGGTATATGGTGTAAATCCCCTGTTATTTTTTTTCACTTTCTTTAGGCTTACATCAAAGAAAACGTGTCGGAACCTTAGTTTGCAGTGTCTTTATTGAATGGGCTGTTAGATTCTGTTGGTCGCTTAACTTTTAGACCCGTATGCAAAAACCCAGAACGATTAAACAGAGCAATATGTTTTTATCCTGTTTTAACCGCGGTCAAATGAAAATGAATGAGCTATAGCTAGATGTAAAGATGGATTCTCTCCCATTTTAACTCAGTAAAGTCATTCTTCCTTGCACTATATAGGCTGTTCTTGTGTCAATGTGCTTCTTTTTACTCAAACTCAAACTCATTTATTAGTGGGTAGATGTGGTATGAGCGATATAAGACTTGTTTTTAAATTACCTGTTATTTCAAACAGAGGTACAAGCGAATCAAAAAATATTACCGATAATCGCCAGCCCCTTCTTACCTCTGCGGTGTCTATGGCGTAGCCAATAGGTACTTTGTTGGTGCATGTAGGAAAGCCGAGTTTGATTCACGAGCGGGGTGAAAATTCTCGGCCTTTGTGCTGGTATGTTATATCACTCTAAATCTGGGTTATTCCTGACAGGCAGGTTCGGAAGCCCACCTCTTAAATGATCTAAACTTTGTCGATGGGGGCATAAAAACACCAACAATTTTTTTTTAAAGTATTGCCGGTACCCTTTTACCTCTTCGGGGTTTTCGCCAAAACCTGTCCGAGTCTGCTGTAGTACAAAGGTGAGCGGTTGATGATGCGCTCATCCACAGTGACATCAGTGACCCCAACATCCGGGGCTGATGTCAAGGACGTCAAGTACCTCAGGAAGTCGATGCCAGTCTGTGGAGACACAAACCAACTTAGAATCATACTTTCTTAAAAAATTGGTGGGGGGAAAAAACATGCATACATTGTAGACAAAACCATAATTAAAGATCCCTTGGTAGTCCAAAATCGATAAGAGAAGGCTTCGGCTGCAACCCGAGCAAAATTCAAAATTTCCTACCTACTGAAAATGTTCAATGTGTCCCATGCACTCATTTGACTTTATGCAGTTGTTGCGAGCGCCGTAAAACACTTACCAAAAAAATAATACCAATAACTGACAATTATAATAATGCATTAATTCATTCACCTCTTGGCTGTAGTTTCCTTGCACTTCTCCCAGTGTCATAGGATTGTACAAGGAGTTGCTGTCTCTCCTCTCTTCTGATGGAACTGAGATCTGTGTAAGACAAAGTACGACATCAGCAAACGGTTCAAATGTGTGAAGTCCTCAGAAAGCAGATCGATTTTTCAGAAGAGATGGAAAAAAAACTTTTCCATTTTTATAACAATTGTACCTACATTGTATGTTTTTCCCTTGCTTTTTTCAATAGTAAGAATTTTAATTTTGTCAAAATATTTCTTGAGTACATGCAACCAATACCACAAATTAATAAATGGCAATTTATTTTTATTTTTTTTATCTAACATTTTGAGCTTAGTACACATTTAAACAGCTGGCTGACAATAAGAAAAACGAACAGAAATATGTGCAAGACAAAGTAGAAGAAAAACAAGTAAGGATGTGATTCTTGTCCGTCACTTTTCCTTTCAAAACAAAAGCATAAGCAAACATGTACATTGACAGACAAACAGGCAAACACAGAGAGACAGACCAACTTGAAGTTTCAGGGTTTGTTATCGACCCAAGGTCCTGCCAAGTTTGTTGATAAGACTGGGGACATAGTCTGGTCATTTAAACCTACAGACCCCAGCAAATCCTAAATCTACGGTAATGTTTGACCATATATGTCACAACGCAGTGAAATCAGGGGCTCGTCAGTTTTTGGGCATGTGGAGTTGTTGATGTCATCTTAAAGCTTTTTCATTTGTCTTGCTTTCGGTGAAAAAAATATCCTTTTTATTTTAAATACAAGTCGAGATATTTTTGCGATTGAAGGAGGTGGGGATCACCTGGTCTCAGAGGTAAAATTAGAGAGAAAATGGCCGCAAAAGTTTAGTTATTTCCTTAGCTTGGGAGTCTGTAGAAACAGAGAATTAACATTTGTTATGCCTTTAATTGACGTTTTTCAATACAATTCACACAGAAATGTGTTCTTCTATGAGCATTAAGGTGTTGAGCCAAAAAAAACAAAAATTCGATAAAAATTCCTTCACCTCCGGAAAAATGCCAGTTTCTTCATTTTCATTATTTTGACGAGTGCCTTGTTTCACCACGCTGCCTCACATATTATGGTCCTAATGAGACCACACTTTTTCTCCACACCTTCATCAGCTCTATTTCACCACGCTGCCTCACAGTTAATGAGCGTGCACTTTCTCTCCTCACCTTCATCAGCTCTATTTCACCACGCTGCCTCACATATTATGGTCCTAATGGGCGCGCACTTTCTCGCCTCACCTTCATCAGCTCTATTTCACCACGCTGCCTCACATATTATGGTCCTAATGGGCGCGCACTTTCTCTCCTCACCTTCATCAGCTCTATTTCAAAGTCCACTATGTCGGCCACTTCCCTCTCAGCGCTGTCTGGGTCGGAGAGGC